TAAAAGAACTGAGAAATGAAGGTATTCCCTTTGCACTACAAGCCGGTAGACTTTTGCGTGGCTTCGAGGACCATGTTGAAAGGTGGTCCCGTCTCCAGTAGGAGATGTAAAAAATAGTGTCCCCAATTAGTACTTTTGTGCTAAATACATTGACACTCAAATAAACTGCATTTTTTTTGCATGCACTGATTTACTTCAATTAGTTTCCACAGTTTTGATCAAGACATTTTCAGGTTGGAGAACATTTTATTATAAAGTAAGACTATAATAAAAGATATTATTAGAAGTTGGAAATTTCAACTATTTCTCTTCATTTTTTTACGTACAGTTCATTTTATTAGCCGGGAAGTAAGCCTTAGAAATTAAAAGGTTTCATCAGTTCTCCCTCACGAGTTCTAGTCATTTCCGTTTTAACTATGATAGGCAAGGAGCTATTTTCTGAAAAAGCTTTATTTAAGGAGTTGGCTCGACCCGCCTGACAGAAAAGGTCTAACACAAGATTTATATAGAAGAGAAACTGCTCTTTCAAGTTAGGTACTATGTAGTTCTGAAACGTGGTACCACTAACGAGATAAAAGGGTCATAAGAGTGGGAGTTTTTCTGAAATATGACGCTCGGTATGAAAACAAGGCTCAGTCAGTATTTGCTTTAGAACTTTAATGCTAGGCATTAAAATACTTCTAAAACTACCTAAAAGTCATAAGCAAGCCTATATCGACAATTTGAGCAGTAAAATGGTTGCAAATTATGTCACGTGACCTCACATGCGACCTATTTGTGTAAAAAATCAACCCATTTCCCCAATTCCTGTTATCGGTGCATTTATGACTAAAATCAAATTTAAAGTCATGTATTGTAACTTATAATAAAGATTCTGTCGAAGTATACCAAGAAATTGACTTTGGAAAGAGAACAAAGGCCAAATATGCGCTCATTTCAAATCGTAGCATGGAAACGAGGCTCAATCCAAAAAACGCGTAACAACAAACGTGTAAAATTTTCCAAAAATTACTGTAACTTTGAATAAGTATCAAAAATTGCTGGAAATGCTGGAACATCTAGTGCACGGTGACCACTGGATTCCACTCGACATTTAATTGTTCTAAAGGATGTTAACATGGGGGGAAGGCGTCCTGGTCTACCTGACTTTGCCTGGGAAGTTATCAGCTCCTGGTTCACTTGTGACCACCAGTTCCCCTCCACCTGCATGGATTATCTCTGCTGGCTGCTATTACGTCTTTCAGGTCCTTTCATGGCTTGCAACCAAGTACAGTCCCCAGAAGAGCATAAAATATCGAGATGGAGGGGATTCCATGCCATTACACAACCTGGGATCCCAGCAGAGACAACATTGGCTACCACCCGATGATCAATGCACAGGCAAGCAACTTTATCACTTTTGATCTGCCCCTCCATGCAAATGCCAAGCAGTTACAGCTGAAATACCCAGAGGAGTTTAAAAACACTTATCAAAATAGGAGGCTTTCACATTGCCTTAAACTACCTTTCTCTCTGTGAAAGAAAGTATGCAAATTCAGGCTTGGAAGACCTGCTGATTGAATCTGGGGTTTATGCAGCTGGTACCACCTCTGTTTTGACGCTTAGGAAGTCATACAATAGAGGTATACATGCTCCAAAGCTCGTCATGGAGGCTCTTAGACTTAGACTTTTGTGGAAACCCTTCCTGGAATGGCTGTCAAAGAAAGCTGGTGCGTTGGACAACAAGGTCAAGCAAGACGTTGTTCACAGAAGTAGTGAGTGTCGAACCACCATCAAAATGAAAGGTTTTGTAAATGATCCTTGGTTGAAGTTGCAAGGCTGCGTTGAACGGCTATTTTCACTGCTAGATGCTTTCAAGTCCGAGAGTAAAGAGAAGTCCGAAGTGTTCGGTTTCTGGGTCGAGTACATTGTTATGGTCCTAATGCTCTAACAGTTCACAAAGGCCGAGCAAACAGGAAACTGGAAGTTACATCTCTCCCCCACTGCTGCAATGATCCCCCACTTCTACTCTATGGATAGGTTAAACTATGCTCAGTGGCTCCCAGTGTATATTTCGGACATGAAGATGCTGGAATCAAACCATCCCGATGTTTACAGAGAGTTCATTTCTGGAAACCATGGTGTAGCCATTTGAAGCAACCATTTGCACAAGTGTGGACGGACATAATCCTTGAGCAGTCTATCATCTTTGATTCCAAGTCGAAGGGTGGCATTGTAGGCATCGGCACGAAAAGAACGCTGTGGAATGGTGGTTCTTAACCAGTCATGAGCGAGCGGCCATAACAAAGTCGCTCAAGCAAATGTGTGGAATTGAACACGCTGAGAAGACCACAGCTACACACAAGGAAGCCAGATTGGCAAGAGTGAAAAGAGAGGAAAACGATATGCAAAAGCGGGTAGCAACTTTTGATAGCGGGCTGCTTAGCAATCCTCTTCACATTCCAAATGACAGAGCAGACCGAGAAGACCTAGTGCCATTGAGTAATCTTGTCAACAGAGT